AGAATGTGGCAAAGCTTTTGGTTACAAATCACACCTTACTTGCCACATCAGAACTCACACTGGAGAGAAGCCTTACAAATGTAAAGAATGTGCCAAAGCTTTTCGTAGAAAATCAAACCTTACTTGCCACATCAGAACTCACACTGGAGAGAAGCCACACAAATGTAAAGAATGTGGCAAAGCTTTTGGTCACAAATCATACCTTATTTGTCACAGGAGAACTCACAGTGGAGAGAAGCCCTACGAATGTAAAGAATGTGCCAAAGCTTTTGGTAGAAAATCAAACCTTATTTGCCACAGAAAAACTCACACTGGAGAGAAGCCCTACAAATGTACACAATGTGGCAAAGCTTTTGGTTACAAATCACAACTTATTTGCCACAGAAGAATTCACACTGGAGAGAAGCCCTACGAATGTAAAGAATGTGCCAAAGCTTTTCGTAGAAAATCAAACCTTATTTGCCACAGAAAAACTCACACTGGAGAGATGCCCTACAAATGTACACAATGTGGCAAAGCTTTTGGTTACAAATCACAACTTATTTGCCACAGCAGAATTCACACTGGAGAGAAGCCCTACGAATGTAAAGAATGTGCCAAAGCTTTTCGTAGAAAATCAAACCTTATTTGCCACAGCAAAACTCACACTGGAGAGATACCCTACAAATGCAAAGATTGTGGCAAAGCTTTTGGTCAAAAATCAGACCTTATTTTCCACAGGAGAACTCACACTGGAGAGAAGCCCTACAAATGTAAAGATTGTGTCAAAGCTTTTGGTCAAAAATCAGACCTTATTTGACACAGTAGAACTCACACTGGGGAGAAGCCTTACAAATGTAAAGAGTGTGGCAAAGCTTTTGGTTACAAATCACAACTTATTTGCCACAGCAGAATTCACACTGGAGAGAAGCCCTATAAATGTTCAGATTGTGGCAAAGCTTTTGGTCAAAAATCACACCTTATTTGCCACAGAAGAACTCACACTGTAGAGAAACCCTACAAATGTACAGAATGTGGCAAAGCTTTTGGTTACAAATCACACCTTATTTCCCACAGCAAC